CCCCCCCCCTTCACTGTCTCTTAATTTCAAAAAGTTGTTCTGTGCCTTGTGGGGTGACAGTTTGAACATTTTGTTAGAAGACCTCAAACTCCATGACTCCACTTAGCTTTTTTTAAAAAAAATTTCTCTTTATTGTTGAAAGTATTATAGATGTCCCCCTTTGCCCCCTCCACTGACCCCCCTCCCTCCTACCCCATGAGGCCTTCACCGCACTATTGTCTGTGTCTGTGGGTTATGCATATTTGCATGTCAGTGCTTTGGTTAATCCACTTGGCTTCCTAGCACAGCTTGCAGATAACATTCATGAGAAAACTGCAGGTAACATCTCCATCCCAAAGCAATTCCGTTTTGGGATGAGGAGATTGCCGGGCATGGGGTCTGATTCTGGTCTCTCTTGCTGTACTAGGAGGTACCTGCTTTGGACTGGGTCTTACTCCTGAGTGGGGTTCATCAAAGCCCAAGCATGCTGGCCCTGGGGAGACTGGCTCTGGGCTGGGAAAGGTCCGTCAGACCCCCACAGAACAGGCTTTCCAATGGTGTGGCTGGAGAGCTCAGCTATCAAGAATGCCAGCCACTACTCTGGAACTGGGGCTTTGCCTCTTGATTCCTCTTTTTAAAATCTTTGTTTTTATTATGTAATTTTTCTGCTACCATAGACAGTGGAATTACTTTTTGCTCTATCTCTACGCCTCTCATTGGATTCTTGGCCAATGTTGATGCCCCGTATTTCCAGACACTCCGTGTGTCCTCCTTCACCCGCCTCAGTTCTTCTCACTCCTTTGACATCTGCCTCCGCAAGGTGCCCTTTGCAGGTGTCCCTCCCTTGCCTGGTTCCCTCTTTCTGCACAAAGGGCTTGCATGACACCCTCTCCCCAGCTCTGGTGGCTTTGTTTAGGGGCCCTCAGTGCCATTGCTTTCCCTGTTCCCCTCCCCACAGGGTCTTTTCCTCCTTCTGTTTATGCTGTTGTACTTGGAGGCCTGATCACAGGCCAGGTGTTGGCTTTCTGGAAGTCTCCACGTCTGATTTCTTGGCTCTGCCTGCACAGGCACTGCTTTCCTTTTCCTCTCTTGGGGGAGCAAGGTCCACCCTGGATTGCCCTTCTCTTTCTGGCTCTCTTAGGAAATTGTGTGGCAGCTCAGTGATTAATAGACTTTATTTTTATCTGGTGCCCTTCAGACATGTGATCCTTTGGGATAGAAATGACCTTTGGAGAGGTCACAAGTCCCACCCCGCACCCCCATACTCAGCAAGGAATGCTTTTAATAATCTCTAATGCATCCTAAGTAGAGAGGTGTCTGGTCACCTCCTTGAATGTCCCCAGGGATGGTGTTACCATTAGCTGACATTTCTTCCATAGTGCTTTGAATGATTGTTTCTCCTTAATAGGAACTGAAAATTTTCTTTTCTTTAGGCTCCCTTATCTTTTGTGCATCTTTTCCCATCAAACAGGTACATTGAGCATTTTGTCTATTCTGGAGGCACTCTTAACATCTCCCTGTATTCTTGGTTTACCTAGGGTACGTCCCATAACCTCTGCGACAGCCTGCTCTGAATTTCTTTCCAGCACTCCCATTGGAAGTAGCACCAAGGCCATTTGGCTGAAAGCCACATTTTCTTGTATATTTTACACATCACTTCTAAACACCACTTACATCTATAGAGTCTAGAAGTATCTGACTACCCCATTGCACTGTGCCCCATCTCAGTGACTTCCCACATGGTCAGAAGTAGCTAATGCCTCTCTATGTGTGCGCTCTTTTCTACTTATGCATTTGATTATTTCTTTGTCCATAAATCACTCTGCATTTGGTCCTATTGAGTCTCAATAAAGACATATACTAATATGTGACTTCAATATACAGGATTCAATAAAGGCAAATTTAAAGACATTTCCCAGTAGTTAAATTTTATTCTCCACAGATTGGTGATCGCTGCCATTTTTGTATCATCTGTGGTTTGATTTGCATAATCCCCACTCCATCTTTCCAGTTATTTATGAAAATATTAGGCAACCTTGGACCCCACCACCTCTTTCCGGGTTTATGTGGAGTAGCAGTAGCTATTTTTCAGATGTGATTGTATTTAACCCTTCCTGGTTTATATTTAGAAATATAGGTGTCCTGTTACGTTCTTGGTCCAAGCTTCCCTTTCAAGATGGGTGGTTGAAATATTATTTTAGCTGTTAACTTCAGGTGATAGATAGTTTGCCTGTTGCCTTTCACTCAGCCATTGGATTTATTTCACCTCAGAGAAATATTAAATCATCTGAAAATAATTTATATTTTACCCAATCTATGGTGTGTGTAGATGAATACTTCATTTTCTAGCAAGTAACCAGTCTCTATTAATTATCCTTAAAGTTTACCAAGTGTAAGGATTAAAGTTCTGTTTCTTCCCTTTCAATCTCTTGCTGAAAGAGAAGTACTCATTACCCACAAACAATGCAACTGTATATAACTTTGTGGGAAAGGCTGTCATGCTTGCCAAGGTATGAATTTGGACCACTGGCACAGAGATAACCTGGATGTTTATTAAAATATAGATTCTGGGCTTCACACCAGACCTCTTGCATCAGAACCCCTGGGAGCAGGCCCAGGAACCTGCATTGTTCAAGAGCTCCTGAGGGGAGACTCATGAATACTGACTTTTCAGAATGACTGGTCTATTTCATTCAAATTCGAAGGTTTCTGGCAGACTGCTCAGCCCTTTTTTATTCCCTGCTTTTTGCATCTGGAAGTTCTAGAGTCTCCAGGAATTCTCTAGGCAGAGTGCCACCGGCTTGTATCACTGTTTTAGTTGGTCTCTTTAGAATCTTTCCAGTTCTTTCAGCACTGATATAAAACTCAGCAGTCCCATATAAAACTCAGCAATCCAGCACTTGACATTAATTTACTTAATAGCTCTAAATCCTAGTAGTATCATTAGTCCCCTTTTATATGTGGTATGATAACAGGAGATAGACATATGAAAGGAATCCTTGGGTTTGGGCTACCGGGATGTTTTAAAAATCATTTCAAGAGTTTGCCTCTTCTCTTCCTAACTGCGCCTGCCCCTGAATTTTCTGTTAGCATCCTTGGGGCAGATTCCTGATGAGAGACTGCATTTCCATTTTCTTTGTTCAAGGAGCATCATAAGAAAGAAGACAGTAGTGATGGGGTGAGATTTGGGGAGAGGAAGAACATTTTGTCTCTAAGCCTTAGCCATTTAGGGAGGAGCAAAGCAGACATTTGCCCTTTTGCTGGCACAGTGGAAATGATTTGTGAAGTTTTTTTCTCTCCTTAAGATATTTTTAAAAGAAATTAATTTTACTATGGAACATTTTACATTTAAATGTTAAATTGAATTTTAACATTTAACATTTAACAAATTTTTAAGTGTGCAACATGTATTGTTGACTGTAGGTGCAGTGTTGTGTAGCAGATCTCTAGAGCGTACTCATCTTGCTCGATGTAGACTT